CTTGTAGTAGTTATCATAGTGGTTTCGAAACCAGGGAAGAAATGCTCCCATTATGGTCCAGCGCGCCAGCATCTTGGAATCCACAATCTGGCCTTGCCATGCTGCACAGAAGCCCCCAATGTCACAGCCGGAGACTGTCTGCGCAGATAGGCCGATGCCAAGCACCAATGGGATGTTCATCTGTATGAATTCCCAGTTTGATGTACTATCCCCAGTTCACAGACCAGCATAGACGCCGACAAAGCCACCACGAGCGATGATGAAGTGGCGTTTGGTTGGTCGGAGACGCTGCAGTCCTTGGTAAGTGGCTTTGCAGAGATTGTAGTTGTACAGACAGCGGATTTTGGCGAATGGTTTCTTGTCATGATGGGTGCTTACTTCGAAGTACCTAAGAGAGGAAAAAGGTGTAATCAGGTCTTAACATACAATAGCATTGGACCTATGCAAACAAACAAAGAAACAAGTACTCCAAGTAAACGGAAATAAATCGTAAATCTCTGCTTTTAGTTGCCTACTATCAAAGCCCAGCGAGCTTGAGGCAAACGATACTAGTTCAGCGCATGGCGGTTTGGCCCCACAACACTGCTGTCACAACACCGACCTTGACAAAAAAAAAAATCCTTGAATGTCGCGGACTGATTTCTTTTGCCAATATCTTTCCTTTCCTTACAAGTAACAAACCTGGTTTCCTCGTTGTCACTGATCATTATATCCATAGGAAATGACAGCAGGGAACAGTCAGGCTGATAAACACTCGCTTTCATGGCTGGAGTGGTCATGTCTTGCCACACTAAGTCCAATCCCTAGTCTAACAGATCACGGTACTGTTCGCCCCACCATTTCTGTGCATCCAGATGACCGCGTCCATAGTTCACGTTACCGATGTATTCATCATGAGTGCCACTGCCATCTTCCCTTGTGTTCATCACAAAGATGCCGCTGGCTTTTCCAGTGTCCAGGGCTTTGTACGGACTGTATTCGCATTTTCATCTGTGTTGCAGCTCACGATGGGCGTAATGTTGGTGCTGCATTTGTACCCCCAATCGTGCAAGGCATCAAACATCTTTTTAGGATCAGGAAACTTCTTTTTGCTGTGCGTGAAAGTGCGTCATCTCTTAAACTATTATTTTTATAGCATTCCCGTGCAAACAACTTTTTATGAACAGATTTATCCCTAAGTTACCTGATCAGCCTTGTTTAAGTGTTGTTCCAGTCGATCAATCGAGCCCAAATGCCTATTTGAAGGACTTTTTGATCTTGCTCTATGTAAAGACATACATACATACATACATACAAACAAAGATAAAAACATACATCCTTTATTTGGTAAAGCTGGATGGTAGAAGATGGCAGCGAATGCTGACGTGAATCTGCTCTAATTACGATATAAAACTAAGTGACTAAAAAGAAATAGGAAAGAATACGGAAAAAATTATATATATATTTCACATACAAAGTAAACCTGGAAAGTAATGCGAGCCAGTAATTTCTTATAAAAATCCGATAAAGGGTTCCATTTTGCCTTGTGTAGTACTTGGGTTGTACATCAGTCTCTCAGCAAGGATGTGAAAGTCCTCAAGTTCAGAGAGCAAATTTGATGATTCCCGAAGAGAAATATAATAGAGAGTACTAAGTAAAATAGCTTTGAAGTAGATAAATCCCAGAGTTGATCGGTCGCAGGTATTTCACACATCATATCCTTTGCGTAGGTGTGAAAGTTATTAGTACCGAGTTCCTCGTGCTCATCAAGGTTCCAGACGATCTCAATATCGGTGGCTGTGTTCTGGCAAACGGCTGGTGTCAGCTTACAGCACAAGTGCCAACTTACCCGAAGGAAGTTCCGTTATACAAGTCCCCACAGTTTGATGTTGGTCCGTTAGATTTGATCCATACTCGGTAACTGGGACCATAAAGACAGACTCAACTGGT